AATCGATACTGTCTATTCCCGGACTAGACTTAACCTTGAGATTCCTAATTACGAACAACAATTCTTCTTCCGTCAGAAGTGAGTCTAGAAACTCATTGTAGTTTCTCGCCTTCAAATGAGGGCGTCTTATTATAAACCTATCCTACCCTAAGTTCATCGATCTGTTCAAGAATTCTCTTTTGTCCGAAGAACATTCATTAGTTGTCTCCGATCGATTGTATCTGGATTGAAATCTTTTGACCGTCTTTCAAACAAAGGACGAATCCTTTCTCAAGCCTTCACAGAAATCTCTAAATTTATCTTGTTTAATTCTACGAAATTCTCGTCTCGTAATCGCTACACTTTTTTATAGATTTTTTTTTGTAGTTTATAAAGTCTTCCCTCATATCTGTCTGCTTAAACTTCTCCAAAACTTACGAAGGTGGAGTAACCTGTCACATTCGTCTGTCCACCATGGACACGGGGGAGGCATTTGACTTTGCTTCCCCTTACATTCTCGTCTCTCAGTACATCTGGATGGAGTAGCTGATAAAATCGCCTCACCAACTATGGCAGTAAATGTGAATACATGGTTTCCGTCTCCAGGTCCGTAATAAGTTTTAATTTCTCATGTATCATGTCACGAAAAAGTTCTCAGTCTGTGTCTCTAGCGTGTAGACGCAAAATTCTCCTATTCCCAATTCTGCTATCCGGCTTGCCTTGAGCCTCAATGGTAATAGGCAGGTGATCACTGCCCCATGGGTCTGGATCAACATACCAATTCAACACTAATATAAGCAAAACATTGATCACAGTCAAATCAATTACGGAATTGGTATGATAAGATGCACAGTGAAAAGTGGGGGAGCCATCGTCCAGCAATGATAAATCGCTCCCATTTATTGCCTCCACAGACTACGATATTGTGGGAGTTAAAATCTCTATCAAAAAGGACCTTATCTTGAAATTGCGAGAAAAATCTTTCCCATTCACAAGTCATAATAAAACCGGCGTTTGACGGACGGTAACACGAGATCAATATAAAGGATTCGCCCCTTACAAGGATCTCGACCGCGCAAACTTCGACTTTACCTCTACAAGTCTTCGAAATTTGTGCTCTTCTATATCTAATGTTATTCCTAATCGCAATCATTACACTTCCGCGGTCAGGTCTATCCTCTCTCACCGTATCGAATCCTCCTAATTTAAAACTTTTGTCAGGAGAGAGCCATGTGAAATTGAAATTAAATTAAAATCTTCGCAGTGTTTAGATAAGATCAGTATATTTAGACATGATGAATTTAGTGTTCCAGAATACTCAAATTACTAAAATTAAGTTTCGATTATTTGTTTGCGCCACTACAATTATCTTCTTTAACCAAACGTGTCACATTATGCAAATCTATGGTTTTTTTAATTCGCTGACACAAGACTTCCGCATCCTTATCCGTTAAAATCCGCTCAATAATACCCGACAGGATCTTTCTTGACCTTCCATTATTACTTGAGCTCAGCACCGATTTGTATGACGGAGAATTATCTGGCAGCTCCAGATAACTCCTCTAAGTTTCGTGGGCGGTAGAATCCGGAAGCCGTGAAAAGTTTCTCAGTGATTTAACTGGAGCCACTCTCAACGAATTAATGTTCTTTTTCACGAATCGTCTCGCCTCCAAAAAGAGAAGGTTATCAAAAGCCATAACCCTTACAATCTCCATGTGCTTTTTTAGTATTGGGCAGATACAGTCCGTAGTATGAGAGCCACTACAGTTAATACACTTCTTCTCTAAACCGCATGGAGCTTCTCGAGATGAACGATCAGCACAATTTAAGCAAGCCTCAGGTTTTCCTTTCACATAAATAAATATTGTTTCACAATATTTATTTATGTGACCAGTATGACCACATTTAAAGCATATCCTAACTGACTGCACATATGGAGAGACAAGTAACACCGCCTTCCAAATGATAATCTTGTCTGGTAAACTCTCGTCTCTAATTTCCAAGCACATTGCTTCTGAGTCTTCGAATTCTCTAGATCTATTGCGCCTTTTTAGTCTAAAAAGATTAGAGATCACTATGTTGGAATTCTCTTCTTCGACGGTTTTCTTTACTTCGTCCATACTCATATCTTCAGGAATCTCCTTAATCACCATTTTTCTGCTAATCTTGTATCTCAATATGATCTCCGCTTCTTCAAATAGTTTGTTTGACAGGACACTATTAGCCACAGACTTAGATAAGAATGTCACCTTCCATGTATCACGAGAGTACTTGGCAATCTGATTAAATTTAATATTGCATTCATTTAAAATGCCGGAGATTTTAATCAGCGACATTTTCTTCTTGCTAGATGCATTGTCAGATCTGGAACGCAACATGACAACATAAGATGCTCTGCTAAAAGCATCATACTTGAGCCTTTTACTGTAACTGCATTGCCAAAACTATTTTTATCTTTCTCCCTTAGGTACATCCTTATTCGTGCACTGCGTGGTAAGGTGATTCATGGCCTTCAGGTCCACAACAATTCTGAACTCCTCCATGGTATCTAGGTCAATCAGCTTTGATTTAACTTTCTTTAAGTCGCGAGGCAACTTAATCGAATGATTGTTGATGGCAGAAACATCGTCCGTCGTCGGATGACTGCGTTTCAACCGACCATGTCCACGTCTATTTCCCTATCAGATAATTCCCCACTCCATTTCTGTACCTCGAGAAGTCTTTTGCAACAAATATCTCATCAAATCCTCTCTGATTTCTTCGAATCCTGAGGAATCTACGTGCCCGCCAACCGACGGACACGTGTCTCGGAGGTTAAGCTTCAACACTTGTCCCACAAAATAGTAGGAGAGCGATAAAAAGGCCCTTCCAGAGGGCAGAAAAAAGAAGAGTAAGAGATGGAGCAAAAGTCTCGCAGTGAAATGAAATATTTCTCTAATTACCACAAGTCGTGAAAAAAATAAGCGCCTTGTCGCTAATCTCGCCCAACCGGAAGTCCGCGACTGCGTGTATTATCGCTGGAAAAATAGCGACTTCTAGTGATTTCATCAGAGTTCGAGCTTCACTTTAGGATCCTCTTAAATCTAAAAATATAATATGGACATGAATACATCCAAATTTGACGCTAATTTGATTTAAGCTCATTTCGTATTTTAATACATTTCCAAAAATTATAATATGGACATGAATATATCTAAATTCAATATGATGAATAGCACACTTCATATTTCTAGCCATTTGAATCCAAAATACTTATATCACAAATGAATTAGTCATGAATACATAAATAGAAAATTTGTTTTTTAAAACAGAGAATTTATGTTTATAAAGCAAAGAATTTGTGTAATTAAAGCAGAGAATATTTATTTTTAGGAATTAATTGATGTTACACGTGTGATTATAATGTATGCAGTATTTTATGGCAGTGACAAATTTTATAACTTGAATAATCGTCAATTTTAACGTCTTGATTAATAATTTTAATGTCTCGATTCTCAGGGCAGAGCGACACTTTTTGTTACCAGACTCTTTGGTTTTACACAAAAACGCGTCGAATGAGTCTAATTTCATAAAAATTAAAATAGATAGAGGAAAAGCGTTTTAATAAATAATTACCCTCAGATTTTATACCTTCAAATTTTATATCCTCAGATATTAATTCACTTCAGTTCATTTCAATCCGAGACTCTAAAACGCAAACTTGGATAAATTTAAATAAATTGCAATTTTCAATTCATTTTAATTCATTCTCGTTTACTGGGAGAAACGCGCGCATCATTGTCGGGTATGTTTGTATTTGTACAAGAGATTGTTGAAAATTACACATAAATAATTTTTACAATTTTTCGTAATTTTAATCTTAATTTTTATATATTATCATTTGAGTAACAAATAATGTATCTACACCGAAAAAGTCCATGTAATTTTACATAGAAATTATTTGATTACAACTAGAAAATTATTTAAATAATAACTTGAAATTTTTTTCCACATTTTTTAAAATAAAAATACATATTAATGGTAAAATATATATGAAAGCACTATTTTTATATAAAAATAATTTGTATTTTTAAAATAATACTTTTAAGCAATATTTTTACAATGTATAAACGGAAAAAAACCAGTTCAAACAATTTTATGCAAAATTACATTCACAGAAAAGATTTCTATCTTCAATGCTATTACTCCTCGATCTAAAATAAAATAAGTTCGATATAGAGCCAATCATATTTATTCTTCAGAAAAGAAAATTTTTTTCTTAAATAAAAAATTCTAAAATCTAAAAGAAAGTATTCTTAATGTTATTTCATTAATTTTCTTAATAGAAAAATTTAAGTTACATCTTTCGGCAACGAAAAACTGGACTTGGCCAGGGCTTGAGAGATCCTGAGTTCTCGTTCCACATCTCTTACCTAGCGCGCTACACCACGAGAGCTTTGTCACGACTATACTATAGCATCACATATATAACACTAGATAGACTTATTCTAAACGTATAGAATATACATGCACCGAAATTTATATATGTTATATTTATCGCAAGACAAGATGTTGATCTTATTTTATTCGAGGGAGTAAAATAAAAATTACACTAGTTTACAACAAATTTTTTTTACAATTACCTTTGACCGGATTAGTCTCTTATAAATTTTTGGATGCTGAAAACGATGCCGCAAGCAAAAAAATTCTTATACGTCAGATTTCCAAGATAATTGAGGTTTAATATTTAAAAAATAACTTTTTTTACGATATTTGACACATTTTTATAAAGAAGATTAACATTATCTTGAAATTTCGATCAGGAGTCATGAATGTATTGATCATTCCCTATAAAATGCATTTTTTTTTTAATTTCAATACTTTACTTTTTAATCATATTATGAATGATTAAAGATAGGAGCTATTTTTATGGCGTCATAAGCGCATGCGGATTAATTTCTTAGGGTCACATTTTGATAACTATATCTTAATATTTTTATACACAGAATTATGAGACTAATCCACTGGTGTAATAAAAATACCTTTCATTAGTTGTGTTACGTCCTACAGACGCCACGATTCTTTTCTTCGGCTTCAGGTCGCGACTATGGTTGGCGTCTGCGAAACTCGAGCGGAGTCTTCTGATAACGGTCCGACAGAACTGAAAAGAGGGATCGCATAAGCTCCGCGAAAACACCAATCGTAAACTCGTAAACACCAATCAACCCGGAAGGAATAACAACTTTAATGCAGGTCCAAAAAGTGACAAGATTGTAAAAGACATTATAAATGCATCGAAGTCGTGCAATAGTAAAAATCTAAGCTTTGTCGTCCCAGACTAACCAACAATTTCATCTTAGGAAAACAGGCGCCATGTCGCGCTTTAAAAAATATCATAAAACGCATGGGATAACTTCCCACGGTAGCGTTATCTAAAATCAGATTCGTGACTGACAATGGTTGCCCTGCACGCAAAACTAGTTGTGCACGGTAACCATTTGTTTACTTAGTCATATTTTCCGCGAGGATAACAGAATTCGGCATCGGTCTGGAACAATCTTGCCTCTTTAAAGAAAAACGTAAATCCTTTTCTTCTTAAAACTCCTCTAACGATGCACTTTAGATTAACAATGATAGGACGCTATAAAAATCGTAAATCTCGCGTGACATTGCAACTAACTATTGCAACCTAGACAAAGGGCACAACGCCTTTTTTTCAGAGTATAAATAGAGGTCCCGTGGAAGCGCAGAGCGTCAGTACAAAAGTCTAACTCACCGATTCACGTTAGTACAGTTCACGTCAGTGAAAAACCATGTAAGTTCACATATCTGTACTCGAATGCATCAAATCATAGTTGAGATCAACTGCTATCAGTGCGGAAATCAGACTACAAGAACCCGTGATAATCACGCCAGTTGCAAGTGCAAAGAAAAGAAAGATAAATTGTGGGCAGCAATCATCGCTGGGACCATGAGTCATTCGCCACTGCGACTGCTCTTCTAGCATTCTTCCATGGACCTCGCTCTCAGCGGTCCTCCTCGTTCATCAGCTCGCCAGCTAACGAGTAAGTCGCCCTGCCATTCCTTCCGATTCATCCACACGTCTCCCCGCATAAAAACAAACATATATATATATATATATATACACTTATACGCGCTTCTAACGAAACATATATATATTTTACACTTCGGTTATAGTGCGCGTTAGTACGTCGATTAAAAAACGGGAACGAACTTCTTACGTCAGTAGACGGAACCGTCCGCATAACCAAGTCATAACCATGCCACCACAACCGACTGGCGACCACTATCTTGAGACCTCATACTCGCCAGTCTCGGATCAGACACAACCATTAGGCCTCACCTCTCCCCCTGCCATCGATCTCCTTACCATCCAAGAAATCCTGAATTATTCCTCTCCTCCTCTCGAGGAACGATTCCCTCCCTCCCTTTTCTCGAAGAAGAATTTCTTCTCCCTCCTCTTTTAAACTCCCAACTCCTCTTCTCTATCGTATCCCGTGCCGATCGACTGGGATCGACTATTTAGACTGTATTCTTCCTCCTCCAATGAAGGGGATAGAATAGTTACAGTCCATATCCCAGGAAACCCCACCTATTACATTGTCCTATACAAGCACCTCATCCCGATGTGTTTCTGCACCATTTTCCTCGCCTCCAATAACCCTACTTCCTTTTCTCTCTCTCTCACACACACACACACATACACACACACACGCGCGCGCGCGCGCACATACACGCCCTCCATAACTAAATTCTTACTTAACCACATTAAACAAATCGATTGTAATTACACGTACAATGAGTAATAATAACGTATAAGTTTTTTCTTATTTTATGTAAAAATATGTATAAATATCTTATATAAACCTAATTTCCTTTTTTTTTTTAATATTAGTTGTACAACTTTGCTTTCGCCGTTTTTTTTTCGAAATTCGAGGCTTTATTGTAAAAAACTGATTATACATTTATGATTCAAAGTATTGTCCATCTCTGGCCACTACTTTCTCTCATCTTACGGACAGCGTCGAATCCCGCGTCGAAAAAACTGGTTATCTTTTGAGGCGATCCACGAATCGATCCAATTTTTTACTTCTTCATAAGATCGGAAGTGCTGGTCAGCCAGGCCGTGTGTCATTGATCGAAACAAGTGATAGTCAGAGGGAGCAACGTCTGGAGAATACGGCGGGTAGGGTAGGACTTCCCATTTCAACGTTTCCAAGTATGTCTTGATTATTTTCGCAACATGAGGTCGAGCATTGTCATGCTGCAAAATCACTTTATCGTGTTTCTCGTTGTATTGCGGCCGTTTGTCTTTCAATGTTTTAGTCGGTTTTAACAGCTCATAATACACTACAATCACAACATCTCTCGGCTTCAACTCGTACGGCACTCAATTTTCTTGCTTCTGAATCATTTCCTGATGACTTTGAAGCATTTTGAAATGGCTTGTTGAGTCACTCCCAATGATCGTGCCAATTCTTCTTGATTTTGACACGAGTCTTGATCAAGGATGCCTCCAATTCTGCATCTTCGAAAACCTTCTCTCTTTCACCGCTATATCGGTCTTCGACGTCAAAATCACCGTTCTTGAAGCGTTGAAACCACTCACAACACGTTCTTTCACTAATAATGGCCTCACTATAAGTATTTGAGAGCATTCGATGAGCCTCAGTCGCAGATTTCTTCATATTGAAGCAGAAAATTAAAACCTCCCGCAAATGACGAGAATTTGGCTGGTAAACTGACATTTTCAATCGAGAACAACTTTATGATGCAGACACAAATCGATTAATGTTTCTATGGGGTTATGTTGACAGATGCCCAAGTTTATTGTATGTACGTCTATTTATTTCGACCACCGCTAAAGCCATCTAGGAAAACGGCGGAAGCAAAGTTGTACACCTAATAAAAGTAAGTCATTTATATTTTCCTAGCTACCATTTATTTGAATTACCTCTCGCATTGTTTTCCCTTTAAATGCCTGAGATCGTACGAGGTCCAGTCCCAGGTCAAAAAGATTAAGTTCCTTGACCCAAAAAATAGGATCGACGTTCGCACTGTTCCTCGAAACAGGTGTCATAGCGTCTCTTCGGGACATCTGTTCCATATATTGACCCATATTCCTGGACCGAAAAAGTGCGTGCGACTCACAGATGTTCGCCTCTGCGCGTATACCTGTAATATTGAGTCTAGCCGTGCTTCCATACCCTCTCCATTCTTTCTTATTGTCTCCTTCACTATTTCTAATTTAGACGTAACAGATCAAATGAATTTTTTGAGGTCTCGGAATACAAGTGCGATCTTAAGAGACAGAAATGAATACGAGAAATTCTGACAATAAATCTGAAGTAGAAAGCCTTTATAAAACCGCTATAGAAAATCTGAATAAGTTAAAGTCAAATACACAAAACACATTACACACCTCTACTTCCCTTAAATCCTCCGAACTTAAATCTGAAACGGCGGGATTCCCCTTGAATGGATCAGAAATTTCAGATAATTCTAAAATTCTTGTGTTTGACGGTTCCACCGACTCAGAGGACATAATCACTCAACTCGCGTGCGAATTCAGTGGTACATCTGAAAATAAACGTAAAACAGTTATGGCTATCCCTAAATCGAAGGAACCTGACGAAACCATGATGCACCAAAATTTGCTATCTTAAAATACACTGTCGAAGCCGTACCCTTTTTCGACGGCAAAAACATCCCTTTAAACTATTTTATCGAAGGATGCGAGAAAGCAAAATCCATATTACCGATTGAAGCTGAATCGCAATTCACAAAAATCATAAGGACAAGAATTGTGGGTAAAGCGCGCCACACTATATAAGATTAGGACTTTAATAGTATGGCACAATTAACCAAATATTTAAAACAAATTTATAGCGCTTCAAAAAATATATACCAACTCGCAAGGCAAGTTAGGCCATATTTATCAATAGAATGAGGAGGACGTAATTACATAAGCGAATCGGGTAAAAATTTTAGAAAAACAAATAATGAAAGCCCATAAAATTTCAGGAAATGCCCTTTCCAATTAAAATGTTAAACCATCTTTAAAAAAAGACATGTGTAAGTGTTTTATTGGAGAATTAAATTGAGAAATTGAGCAAAAAATAACAAGGAATCTAGGTTAAGAAACGGTAGCCGATTACGAATAGAAAGAGAACTCCATTCGATGACAGATTTGCGACAGAATCAGAAAAGTACATCGAGTAAAACGCTGAATACGAATAAACCTGAATACAAGAAACCTATCAGATTTGTTATAAAGAAGGATATTTAGCTTTAAACTGTAGAAAATTAACTTAATTTTGGAACGGAGATTTTAATATGTCAAATCTGCAAGAAACGCGGACACAGCGCTGACAAATGTCGACTTCGCGACTTCAAGCACGACAATTCATTAATATTTTACAGAAAAATAATATTATTTGTCAAATATGTTCTAGATCAAGGCATAACGCCAAAAATTGTCGAACTAATAATAACAATAGTCAGAACAAATCTTTTGTAATCTGTCAGTGGTGTGATAGGCCAGGTCATTCGGTTAATAACTGCTGGAAAAAACAGAATGAGCAACATAACGCAGTTAATAAAATAAAAATTGCTTGTCAAATCTGTAACAATTTTGGGCATAATGCTAAAAAAATTATCGATCTAAGATAGGGCAAAACGCTGTATCCTCAGATTCATTGTTCTGTCGGTATTATAAAGGCAAGGGCATCTCCTCGAAACTTGTGACTTACGAATTGCAAGCAATAACCAAAGAAAGATAAATACGAATACGTTTATGCCATTTATACGCTGGGAGAAATAATTTTACCCCTCTTTGGAGAAAAGATTACCTTTCATATTGTATCAGGTGATTTTTCAATCTTACAATCCGGAATATTAGGTAATGATTTTTTCAAACAGACTTCCTCGAAAATTGACTACGCGATGGGATATTTAGATGTATCAGAAATTAATATACCTTTCTTTTCACCAGAGACCATTGTACCATCACGATCAGAATCTTTATTTTATGTGAAAATAGGAAATCCGGAGATAAAAATAGGATATGTACCGAAATTAAAAATAGCATATGGAATTTACCTAGGAGATACAATAGTAGAAAATGTTTCTGGAAAAGCATAGTTAAACGTCATAAGCACGTTATAATAGATGAAAAAATTGAGGTACAAGTACCAACCTTGAGCCTCAAACCTCTGAATGAATTATTTGACAACGATAGTTCAAACATTGAAATGCGTGATAATCAAAATGATTGCAAATGCATAAAGTTATCTTATCCACCCAAAGGATATCCAAATTCATTTCGAAGACTTTAGTAACGATGCCAATTCAAATAATGACGGAATTACGAAGGGAGACGTTATAACAAGGACAAGAATAACAGAAAAATAAATGAAGATTTTGATGAGAATAAATTAATGAGAGGAATTAAAAAATCAAGAAAAAATTCTATTCCAAATATTCATTGAGGGGAATATTTCTATATCTCCTCTGAACCCGAAATTCTAGAATCCAAAATCCTTGGAGAGGGAAGTTACCAAACCTCTCCTAAAAATTTAAATAAGTCAGAAAATTTTAGAAAGAGACGTTATCAAACTTCTCCTGAAAATTTAAATAATCCAGAAAACTTTGGAGAGAGAAGTTACCAAACCCTTCCTGAAGAATTAAATAATTCTAGAATTGCAAAGGAAAGTTTCCATACTTCCCTGTTAAATTCTACTCCTGTCGATTGCAAGAAGGTAAATAACCAAATTTCGTTATGCAATGCGACTCAATTCTGTCAAAGAGAGCCAAAGGAAAAGAGCTCCACTCTAAAAAAAATTAAATTACCAAGGATTGGAATGCCCGCAAAAAATGATAATTATCAAAATGATGCCTCTTATATTATTATCGATAAACTTATCGATAAACTATTATCGAGAATGCAATCATGTAATCCTTATATAAATGTTCATAATTCGAAGGGAAATAAACATCTTCAAAAATCCTAGCGTCTACACAAAATCAATCTCAAGAAATGATAGACAAATTCATGCGCAAATGTAAGTCAAAATACTAGGAAAGAAAAGGAACATCGAAATGAATCTACGAAAAATATTCCACGCGAATGCTTAGTTGTATCGGAAAAGATCAGAAAGGATAGACTCACAGAAGAACTATTGCATTTGGAGTATTTGAGTTTCCAGGAAAAAACAAGTGTAATGAAACTTATAACTGACAGCCAGGACAGATTTCACATCCCTGGAGAAAAGCTGTCAGTAACGAATATATTACACCAAATATCTACAACGGATCGACCTATAAATACGCGACAATACAGATTCCCGCAAATTCATAAAGAAGAAATAATTAGACAGGTAGAAGAACTGTTAGAAGGAAGCATCGTAAAACCTTCTCAGTTACCATATAATACGCCTATATGAATAGTTCCCAAAAAAGAAGACACAAAGGGAAACAAACGATAGAGAATGGTATTAAATTTCCGAGCCTTAAACGAAAAAATTGTCGGGGACGCATACTCGTTACCTAACATTATCGACATTCTGGATCAATTAGGCGTAGCGCAATATTTCTCGGTATGCGACTTGCATCCGGATTTCATCAAATAAAGATGGATCCTGCTGACAGTCATAAAACTGCGTTTAAAACTCCTTTCAGTCATTATGAATTTGATCGAATGCCTTTCGAACTAAAGAATGCACTCGCTACTTTTCAACGATTAATGGATTTAGTATTATCAGGATTGCAAGGCGAAAAACTATTTGTGTATATGGATGACATTGTCATCTACACTGCTTCATTAGAAGAACACGAAAGGAAGTATAATTTGTTGATAGAACGTAATTACACAAAGCTGATTTAAAATTACAGCCTGACAAATGCGAATTCTTGAAAATCAAAGTCATTTATTTGGGACATGTAATTAGCAAGGATAGAGTTAAACCCGATCCGAAGAAATTAGAGGCTGTAAGGCAATTTCCAAGACCCAAAATGCCGAAAAATATCAAACAATTTCTTGGATTAATTGGATATTACCGAAGATTTATACCAAATTTTTCAAAATTAACCAAACCCTTCACCAATTTGTTAAAAAAATGATACTAAATTTGAATGGACAATAAATCAAGAAGACTCCTACCAAGCATTAAAAGAGAAATTGTGCGAACCTGTCTTACAATATTTCGATTTTTCCAAACCTTTTATTACTGATGCTTCCGGAATAGCGATTGGAGGCATCCTATCACAAGGAAAGATAAATAAAGATCGACCGATAGCATATGCTTCGCGAACTCTGACCGAAAACGAAATAAAATACGATACTTATGAGAAGGAAGCTTAAGCCATAGTGTTTTGTGTCAAGCATTTTAGACCTTATCTATATAGACGGAAATTTACTTTAGTTATGGACCAAAAACCTCTTCTCTGGTTTAAAAATGCACAGGACAAAGATGCGAATACTACGATGGAGATTAAAATTAGCTGAATACGATTACGACGTGGTATACAAAGCAGGTACAACTAATATAAATGCCGATGCATTATCACGACTTTGAAGAAGCGAACTGCAATATAATTAATCATCACAAGCCTTGAACCTTAATGACCCAAAAGATGCAGAAACGATTTCTAAAATCCTAGGAGAATCAAATGGAGGACGAAGAGGACGAAGATTCTAAATTATATTTGACTGATGACGAACTACTTGAAGACTTATTACCAGACGATCATTCACCTAAAGAGGGTACGAATTCAACATCTCTTACACAAAAGGAGACAGAAAAGTCACAAGAGTTACAAATTATGGAAAAGGTTACAACGCGCAATACTCCTCAAAATAGTAGAATGCAGACTCGAAGCCAAACAGCAAAAAAATAGGGATGCCCAGCAGGATAAGCTACCCAGAGATTTCCCACAAGAAGAATGAAACGGAAAGAATAAAATACAGAAATGACTCATTGGACGGAGAAGATGACAATGAAGAGGAAAATCAAGAAAATGAAGAATTTGAGGAAGGACATAAAATTTAGAAATTAAAAGGAAAAACGGGACCTATTATTGTTAACGACCAAATAATCAAAAATGATATTCTCGATTCTCGCGAGCTATTATTTTTGCGAAAGTTAACGTTGCATATTTTGTCGACACCAATGGGAGACTGTTGACTTAGATTCAAAAAACTATTTGAAAGAAACGAGATCCCTCGCTTAGGAGATCTCATTCTAGATAAAGCCAAAGTTGTAAAATAACAAAAAAACACTACTATTTAGCCTTGCCTATCAGCGAAGGGCAACGTGAGGGACCGACGATGATCCTCATCCAGATTTCCGCCGTAATAAAAGATTTACGGATTGTCACTGAAAAACTTAAAATTAGAGACTGTTAGCATTGCTAAAACTGATTATGTTAACAACGTTCCATGGAGCAATATCAAAATCGCATTGCAATTAGTTTTTATGGATTCAACAACCAAATTAATTATATGCAATGGACTAGTTAAATACCCATCTAAAGATCTTCGACCTTCGATAATCGGAGAAATGCATTGTTCATCGACGGGA